GATCCTGAGCCAGAACTGCCCAGCCAAACTTTTCTCACATTTGTGACTCACCAAAAGCTTGAAAAATAATGAAATGATTGTTGTTGTTTGAAGTCACGAAGTTTTGGGGTGATTTGTTACATAACAATAGGCTCTAACGCCTGGGAAGATATATTCCTGTCCAGGGTGGAATATAAACCCAATGAAAATTTATGTGCCTGTCATCTCAGAGAAATTTCTGGTTACTCCTGTAGTACATGTAGGACATGTTAGGATATTACATCCAAAGTGAAAGACAAGTTTGCAAAACCCCCACCACTTAAGGAAGGAACTTTGGGGATTTTGAAAGCAACAATTTATCACATTTGGGAGCAACTAAACCAGGCTGCGTTGTAAGCAGCTTTACTCCTTGGACGCTATATCATAGCGAATCTAACATTGTTCGAAATTCACTATGATAGATTGGGATACTCTAGGGATCTTATGGGAAGACCCATTAGGAGAATCACAGTGCAAGTCCCTTGAGTTTTGGAGCAGAACTGTACTTTTCTAAGAAAATATTTGTTCTTTTTTACAGAAAATTCTTGGTTTGCTGTTGGGCCCTAGAGATACCAAGTGACCATGCAAATTGAGTTTCTATCATAAGCAAGGTATTATATGACCCACTGAGCCATAAATGTGGGTAGCTGATCATCATCAATTGTCAAATTAAGTTTGAGTAGGTGTTGAGGGCACCAGTATGTTGCAAGATCCAGTGGTTCATAGTGTTGGTGCCTCTATTTTTGCTTCATTACTTGCCTCTCCCTCACCCTAAACCTATGACCACATGGGAACTGAGGAGAATATTCAAGCCTGTTTTAGAGATAGTTCCATGCAATATGTTAAAATCAGTCCAAAGTGGGATACTGAAGTTTTTTTATTAAAAAAAAAATTTTAATGTTTATTTACTTTTGAGAGAGAGACAGAAACAGAGACAGAAGCATGAGCGGGGGTGCAGAGGCAGAAAAGAGATACAGAATCTGAAGCAGGCTTTGGGCTCTGAGCTGTCAGCACAGAGCCCAATGCAGGGCTCAAACTCACAGACCATGAGATCGTGACCTGAGCTGAAGTCAGAGGCTTAACCGACTGAACCACCCAGGTGCCCCAGGGATATTGCAGTTTTTTACGTTATTTGAGGGACATCCCCCAAGAATGCCTAAGAAGGGAAATTCTCCCAGTGGTTGGAATTTCAAGTGATAACGTCTATTTGTCCACTTTGCTTACAAAGGGAGATGGCCAGAGATGTGGAGATATATAGATTCATGGAAAGTTATTAGTGATTCTGTGGGATGGCCTGAAATATGTAAGAAAGAAGACTGAAAGACTGGTGATAAGGAGGCCTAAAAAAAAGTAAGTCAGAGGAAGTCTCGGAAGTGACCTAGAGTGTGAAAGTGTTCATGTTCCATGTGAATTCTCTAGGAAGGTATTCCAAGGAGCCCTTGAGACCATTTCAGATGGTCTACAAATTCCAAACTACATCAAAATAAGATGGGCGTTTCCAATTTTCACTTACGATCTTTCATGACTGTAGGGTGGAATTTTCCAGAAGCTACATGATATGTTATATTTCAACGAATTGACTATAAAATCAGTCAGGAGACCCCAGCTGTCATCTGGTAGGCTAGATATTAAGAAGACTTGCAAAAATGTAAAATAATGCCATGCTTGCCAGTTGCTACTTTAGTTTTCACAAAAATGTTATTTGTGTTTATATACAATGATATTACTGTTACTTTGAAATGAATTAAATATACTGCAAAATTCCTCAATTTTAATTTCTAATATATATCATTCATACAAATAAGACTCTTTGAAATTCACAATAGTTTTTTGGGGGTAATGAAAGGGTTCTGAGACCAAAGTTTTAAGAATCACTCTCTTAGTCTATCACTTGCTTTGTTATATGTTCTCACACTTTCTCATCCACTTTCCTAAGCATTTGTCCACTGAATCACATTCTAACCACTTCTCCAGCATATCAAGGCCATTTGAATCTGGATCTTTATGACTCGAGCTTCACTATTTCTCTTTGTCCCATTTGGTCACTCTATAAAACAATCCCTATTTTACTTGATAGCATCTTGATGAAAATATCTTTTTACCCTTGACACAGTTCGATTATGGCTGCAAATCCACTGACAATTATTCTTCATCATGGTTCACCAAATGGTGAACCATCAATCCCACACATCTGTGGTCTAGACCACATTTACCCACTTTGTTACTGATCTGGTCTTCTGAGACAAAATCAAAACCCACAGCAAAGTCATATTGGCTACATTAGATTGCAATCTTTTAATATTTCAGGTTTTTCCTTCTAGTCTACAAGGTTCCTGGCAGGACTCCCACTCCAAATTCTTTCTTTTCTGTGCTGGGTAGCAGCAGGAACATGTATCAAGTTCTTTTACCCTTCCAGCTGCTGCTTTCTGCTGGACCCTCTACAGTCTCCTTTGGGCACATCCAGTTCGGAGGTCAGCAAACTGTTCACCAGTAATTTGTAAATGGGTTTCGGGTGATCTGTCTCCTAGCCTTCTAGCTGTCGCCTTTCCAGGACTTCCCCCTTAATTTCAAGAGGAAATTTATAATTGAAGCACTTCATGAGAACGCTACTTTCTACTAGAGTTCTAACCATCTGTGCCTCACAGGGAAGGGAGTGTCCTTGGGAGAGAAGTTGTATAAATGTGGCTCTCGCTCAGTGCAGTTCCTTTTGTCATGTCCCCTTCCTCCCACCTGCAGTCTACATCTGCTTTAGAGACTCTCTGTGTCATGAAATGTTTTTTGGTTTTTTTTAACAGAATTTATAATAATTATCTGTATGGAGGTTAGTTCATTACAAGATAAGCCACCAGTATCAGAAGACCATTTAATTTAAAACCAGCATTTTTTTTGCAGTTTTAAGAGTAGTTTTTAAGTTTTAACAGTAGTATAAATTTATTTATATATCAAATTCCGTAGACTAAGAGAACAAATGAATAAAAGGTACTTCGTTTTAAAATTTATAATCAAATGGAAATTGTAACTTCAAGTCACTATTAATCTGGGGCTCCTGGGTGGCTCAGTCAGGCTTCGGCTCAGGTCATGATCTTGTGCTCTGTGAGTTTGAGCCCTGTGTGGGGCTCTGACCTGACAGCTCAGAGCCTAGAGCCTGCTCCAGATTCTGTGTCTGCCTCTTTGTCTCTGCCCCTCCCCCACTCACACTCTGTCCTTCATTCTCAAAAAAAAAAACCCATTAAAGTCATTAGTAATCATTTTGCTAACTCTCTCTTATACACACACACACACACACACACACACACACACACGCACACACATGCACACACATACACACACATTCTTATCTTGAAGACAGTTATCTATTTCTATGAGGACTCTATTGGATAATTAATAATGGATAGTGCTTCTTGTGGGAAAGTAAGTAATTGTTGAAGGGAATTCCAACTCTTACTTTATTCTGAGCACACAAGCTGCTTTTAGGACTGTGATAGTTTGATTTCGTGCGTCAACTCATCTAGGCTGTGGTGTCCAGTTCTTGGTCAAACACCAATACAGATGTTGCTATAAAGATGTTTTTTAAGTGTGATTAGCATTTACAATCAGAAAGCTTTTAGTAAAGCAGATTACCCTCCATATAGTGGGTGGGCCTCACCCAAACAGTTGAAGGCCTTATGAGCAAGTCTGAGGTTTTAGGAAGAAAAATTTTTGTATTAAAACTGCAACATAGAAACTCTACCTGAGTTTTCAGCTTGATGGTCTGCCCTAAAGATTTCAAACTCAAAGCTGCAACATCAACTCTAAAATGAAATCTGCAGCTAGCTGGCCTGACCTAACCAGTTTTAGACTTGCCAGTCTCCAAAGTCCTGTAAGCCAGTTCCTTAAAATCTCTCTATGTATGTACAGTTGACCCTTGAACAACTTGGGGGTGAGGAGTGCCAACCTCCTGTACAGTCAAAAATCTGTGTATAACTTTCGAGTCCCTCAAAACTTAAGTAATAAGAGACTGCTACTGACCAGCTTTACTGATAACCGAAGCAGATGATTTACACGTATTTTTTTTTAATTTATATATGAAATTTATTGTCAAATTGGTTTCCATACAACACCCAGTGCTCATCCCAAAAGGTGCCCTCCTCAATACCCATCACCCACCCTCTCCTCCCTCCCACCCCCCATCAACCCTCAGTTTGCTCTCAGTTCTCAACAGTCTCTTATGCTTTGGCTCTCTCCCACTCTAACCTCTTTTTTTTTTTTTTTCCTTCCCCTCCCCCCATGGGTTCCTGTTAAGTTTCTCAGGATCCACATAAGAGTGAAACCATATGGTATCTGTCTTTCTCTGTATGGCTTATTTCACTTAGCATCACACTCTCCAGTTCCATCCACGTTGCTACAAAAGGCCATATTTCATTTTTTCTCATTGCCATGTAGTATTCCATAGAATTTACACGTATTTTATATGTTATCTGTATTATATACTGTATTCTTACAATAAAGGAAGCTAGAGAAAAGAAAATCAGAAGGAAAAGAAAATGCATTTACAGTACTGTACAAAATCCACATATAAGTGGATCTATGCAGTTCGAACCTGTATTGTTCAAGGGTCAGCTGTATATCATGTTGTTTGTTTCCCTGGATAACTCTGACACAAGAATACTTAGCAACTTGTATTATTTTTCAGAAACTGATATCTTATGCTCATTTTTGCCAAATTTTAAAATGTTTCATCCGGATTTCTAGAATGCCTTTCAACTTGTATTGGCTCTGTGATTACCTTTGGTGAATGTTCTCACATTGTGAAACTTTGAGAGAATTAAGATAAACGGAAGGATTTAAAGAATACTTTTTTGTTACTTAGCAATTAAATAATTTTATATTAAAAGGACAATTTCAAGATATAAAATGAATTAATGAATTTAACATTAATTTCCACGAGTCAAAGGAAACACACCAATGTTACCCTTACAAAAACGTTCTAAATTATCCATGAACCAGTTTGATTGTTTGTTCTGAAGTTTAAAAAAATGTGTTCAGAAAGGCTGAAATGATTGTATGCTAATTTGAAGAGCTGGGTTGTACAAGACATGACTTGGAAATTCCCTTTTTTGATGTCCTGCAGGAGTTAGATTCCATTCTATGTGCCTTGTTCTTCAAACCTCGGACTTCAGACTGTCGTTGAGCAGGAATATGGCTTGCGGTTTTCCTCAAATCATTCTTGGGCTCCAGGCAAGGTGCTGGACCTTTGAGCCAACAGGTTGTAGCAATAATAGCTAGGGAAAGACAAAGCTGTGAGTGACAAAGGTGATTCACACGTGTCATCTCCCCACTCTGTCTTCTCCATGTTGTTACCTTTCATCCCAGATCCAACATCTCCTTCAAGCCCAGTCAGTTTGCCTTTAAAAACCAGACATAATAGAAATCAAAGAAGGTGACTTGGATTCAATTTTCTGTCATTTCTTTTTCTTGTTTTACCAAGCTTTTCTTTTTTATTTATAAGATATAAAGTTGTTGAGTTATTCGCAAGAAACAACGAGATTTTGAATTTAAGCCTGGAGTTCAATAATACCGGTGGCATTGTGTCTCATGCTTAAATGTATGGTAGAAAGAGAAAACTCCCATTAACTCAAAATGACTGATCTGACCATGCCAACTCATATGACTGTAGCGTGTGGCCAAATTTCACACTGACTTCCAGTCTGGGCTGATAACACCTAGTCTTTTTACTACTGAGTATTCATTTCATAGGTATTGCACAGATCGTTGCTTATAGGTAAATTTAAGGCATGTGAGTTTATGTCTGTGCATGAAAACCAAGAAAAGTGAAATAGAGCCTTTCACCTTTTTAAAAAATTACATTAAATTACATTAAATTAAATTAAATTAAATTAAATTAAATTAAATTAAATTTTATTTTATTTTATTTTGGGACACCTGGGTGGCTCAGTCAGTTGAGCATCTGACTTCCACTCAGGTCATGATCTCATGGCTTGTGAGTTCGAGCTCTGCATCAGGCTCTGTGCTGATAGCTCGGAGCCTGAAGCCTGCTTCAGATTCTGTGTCTCCCTCTCTCTCTGCCCCTAACCCACTCACATTCTGTCTCTCTCCCTCTCAAAAATAAATAAACGTTAAAAAATGTGTTTTTTAACGTTTATTTTATTTATTTTGAGAGAGAGGGCATGTGAGAAGAGGAGGGCAGAGGGAGAGGGGGAGAGAGAGAGAGAGAGAGAGAGAGAGAGAGAGAACCTGAAGCCCAGCAGTGCAGATCCAATGCCGGACTCCATCTCATGACTGAGATCATGACCTGAGCTGAAATCAAGAGTCGGATACTTAACTGACTGAGCCACCCTGACTGAGCATCCCAAAACTTACTACCTTTTCAAGAGAGGTTCTACACTATTTGAATTTGAGGATCCCTGCAATGCATTTCTTGAGAAGAGAATATTCATTTATTAGTAGGCAGACTACCCCACAAGCGTATACATAAAGCCCATGGACTCTCTGTGCTCGGGCATGGAGTGGAGGCATTGTGGCCTGTCTGGTGAGAAACAGGGGCACAGCATTCCTCTTGGGAACAATAGTCCCAACGGCTATTACCTGAGATGTTCCCTCCGTTGTGTTTCTCTGGAAGAGACAGGGCATTCTGATCTTTTATTTCCTATCAAAGGTGGAAAGATTGAGAGTCATTCTTTACTGCTTGAATGGAGAATTGCACAAATGTTTCTTTGCCAGGGAAAAGCAAGCAGAAAATGAGCACAGCTGGGCCACACTTGCCCAGAGTGCAAAGTGGGCTATGGGGAGGCCAGGAAGGCTTTGGAAAACAGCCACATGTGCAGCACCACTAATTACAATCCAAGGGTAATTATGGCTGGGTTTTCTGAAGCTGGAGAATGTATTTTACCTGTTTCCTGTTTTTCAACAGCCTGTCTGCTTCTTCACAGAAGTTAATTCACCGGAGTCACCACTAAAAGTACAATAAAGCTTTCAAGAAATCTGAGATCAGGTCTATTTATGGCTTGTTAAGCAGTAAGGATTTTTCTGTGTTCATGTGAAGGCATGCTTTCTGTTGATGGCCATTTTATAAGACGAGTCTTATGCTGAATGACACGAAGCAAGGGAAAAGGCTGTTGGCTTTTCATCTGTCATTTCCTAGCACATCCCCAGGGTCTAGGTGCAAGACTTAAGAAGGGCCAGCTCCCCACTGTGGAAGCTGACACGTTATGACTCCAGTGCTGGTAGGACACAGGCTATTTGGGGTTATGGAAACTGGAGCACTGAGGACTGGTTCTCCACATTCTAAAGCAATGCTCCCACAGCACCTTCTTTAAGGGCTGAAGGTGGTGGACATCAACAAGTAGGGTACAGCAGAAAACTCTGAGGGAAATCATCATGAGCACATTCAAAGTACTCCAGACATTCTCAGATTACTTGGGGAAGTCTTTGCAGATAGCCTATAGTTATATAGGGGAGCCTGTAATCATGTAGGCCAGCAGACTCTATGGATTCATGTCAGTGTGATCGCAATTAAACTTGTAGTTTGGGTGGCCTGGGGACATTGGAGCTACATATATTAATAAAATTGATGAACATTTACTTTTTCCCATTATTTTACTCCGATGATATTGAGTGAACAATCCCTCTATTGCCTTGTAACTTAATGTCACTCATTACTGTTTATACATTAACCAAACACACTCAATTGAATAATCTTACACTTGATTTATTTCTATTTATTTTTTCACCATTAGAAGCTTTCACATTTCTTTCTATTTCTCTAGCACATATGAAGAGTTATTTATGAACATAGTAAAACAAAGAAAGCCTATTCAAGTAGGCCTGTAAAAAAGTACTAGTCATAGTAATGACTTCTTTGAGTATATTTGTTATACTCTTTGGGGGAAATAGGAAAATAATTAAAATAACTTGCATTTGTTTTACAGTTCATGTTTCACAGCCTTTCATAGTTTAGATATTAGCTTATCTTTCTCAAACTGAAATCTGGGTAAGGCAGATATTATTCTTGTTTTTATTAATAAGAGGCATACAGTAGCTTGATTGCCATTCTGGGCAAGATAGATACTGAACAAGTCCAGGTCTTAAAACCAGGGTGTAAGAGAACCAGTTTGTGTCATTCAAGAAATACTGTCTTTCTAGAACTATGTGTTCCAAGTATTGTTCTGGGTGTGAGATACCCCGTAGTGAACAAACTGGACTAGAATTCCTGTGTTCATGAAGCTTATATTCTAGGGGGTAAGATTCAGACTATGAACGAACAGATAAGTAAAATATACAGTGTGGGAGGTAGTGATATGTGCCATGGAAAAAATGAAGTAGAACTAGGGGGACAATGTGAGTTTGTGTGTGTGTATCTGTGTGCCCATGTGTGTGTCCACGTGTGTGTGTGTGTGTGTGTGTGTGTGTGTGTGTGTGTGTGTTGGGGAAAGGGCTTGGTGTTTTAAGCAGGTTTCACTGAAAGACAAGAGAGTGAGCCATGTTGATATTGTAGGAAGAACATTCCAGGCAGATGGAATAGCCAGTGCAAAGCCCCAGACTCGCCTGGTATGTTGCATGAATGTCATGGCGGTTAGCCTGGACAGAGTGAGATTGGGAGGGAAAGAGATGAGCTCACAGAGGTATGCAGAGGCCGTTAAAGTTTGATTTCCAACTCCTCAATGGCATATCTTTTTCAAGATGACATTTTCTTTGCTTTTGCAAGGGAGTTTGTATACCCTAGGTGGAACGTGGGTTATTTCCCACTGGAAAGAGGCAGCAAAGTTGATTTTGAGCTCAGCAGCTATCCAAGGAAGAGCTGAACTGAGGCATCCTGATTCACCTGCAGCAACAACAAAAAAACCTGTGGAAACCATTACCAACCACTTTAGGGTGGGAGCGGGACAGCAGGGGGAGCCAGTGACCCTCAGCCAGTGAGTGGCATTAGGGCAGGGGCCAGAGCATCCTTTCTCAGGGAAAACAAACACCAGAAATGATGCTGCCCTTCTCAAAGCCTTGCTGCTGGGCAAAGTAGGGTGCTGTGCTGGCACCCAAGCTGGAGCTTAGCCCAAGGCCTGTGGTGGCCCAGCCCTAGGCAGAGGGGAGGAGACAGTAGATAGGAAGGAGCGGTGAAGCATGCCCACTGGCTCCCTCAGGGCTTTCTCTAGGAAAAACCAAGGTGCCTCAATTTAAAATGCAAATATTTTCCGGATAGTTCTCCATTAACCCACTCTCTGCCGCAACAATATTCAAAGCGTGGTGCTAGATGAGCAGGCTCAGTGTTAGCTGAGAATGTTAGAAAAGTGTGCAGGCCCCATCCCCGATGTGCTGAATCAAAACCTTTTGCAGGGCAGGTAGAAATCTGCATTTTTTTGTCTAGCCCTCAGGTGCTTCTGATGGAGGGTGAAGGCTTAGAGTCGGTAGCATGCAGGACAAAAGCCAAAGTGGCAGGGCAGTGGGCATTCAAAGACCTCCCCACCTGGACTCGGCCTCCATCTCCAGCCACATCCCATCACTCTCGGGCTCAGCCAACTCCAGCAGCACCGACCCCTCCGCCTAGGGTTATTTAGGCTTACACCAATTCCATCAGTGTTGGCTCTTTCTTCTTTGCCAGGAGGCTTTTGCTTCAAGTCCTGTTGGTGAAATCAGACCCAATAATCCAGACCTAGCTAACGCAGTTCTACCTTGGCACCCCCACCCCTCGAGGTTCATCAACAGCAGCCCCCTTCATAACCACTTTCCCTGAAGTGTAAGAGCTAATTACCTATGGGTCTTCCTTCCTTTCCAGATCAGACTCTCCATGAGGACTGGGGCCATAAGTGTGGGTTGTATCACAGTACCTGGGCCACAGTGACTTGAAAGCCTGCTTTTTGTGCTATTGTTGAGTAAATGAAAAATAATTAAGCCACCATCCTCCCTAAATATTTGAGCAGATGGGTGTGGCCACTCTTGCATGAGACAGCCAGGGGCCTGCTGAGGGGAAAAGATTTGGTCTAAACTATGTGACGCTCTCTAGGGAAGATGGGTTTTAAAGGAGAGCCCTGGGCTCTTGTTAGAAGGGGAACCTAGGAGGATGCTGTATTCCCAGAAGGAGACAGAAAGGCAGAAGTCTGATCTGAAAATGGAGGTCAGGGAGCCCCCAAAGCAATGTTGCTCCAAATTGTTAAGCAGGCAATTGTGCATAATAGTTAGCACTATGGGGGAGGCGGGGCTTCCGTTGGCCAAAGCCTAGACTAGAACCTGTTCTCCATAATTAGTCGTGTGACCTGAACATGTAATTTAGCTCTTCTGAAACTCAGGTTCCTTTTAAAAGTGGGATGTAATATGTAAAGTGGGAATAATTACAGTACCTAATAATAGGAACTAACATTTATTGAGTGTTCCTATAGGCTATCTCTCTCAATCTTTACAGCCACTCTATGACATTGTAATTTGGACCTCCCATGTCATAGCACAAAGAAGCTCACTGACTTGCCTGCAGTCATATGGGGAGGTGAAAGGTGGGAGTGTGAACTTGAGTCTAACTATTTGACTCTGGGGCCTGAGATCTTTGTCCTTATGCTATAGCACCTCCTGTAGGGTCTGTGAGATAATATATGTAAAGCACCCAGCAAGTGACTAAATGATAGTTACAATTTTTCTGGGACCAAGCTGGCTTCAGGATGTAGGAGAAATAATCCCAGAATGTGGGAAAGAACTTTGGGGCCAGCACCAAACCTCTCCGTGTTTCTATGTCCTTCCCTTGGCTGCAAGAAGGATGTTCTAACACTGTTACATGTGCCCATTAACCTTTCCTCACCTGAAATTAACCATCCTTATTTGCAGAAAGGAAATTGCTATTTCAGTAAATGGCCTTAATCCAATTGTTAAGGGTGCCGTTTCAAACACAGTATTCGCTTCTGCTGAAAAATTTGGGAGCCTCCCTCTCTATACACCTTTGGAGAAAACACGTGAGTGGAGTGGCATCGTCTCCTGGTCTTTTATGCTTCTAGGAGTGGAATTAAATATTACCTTCCTTGTTTTACTTTTTAAAAATGTTTTTTATTATTTATTAATTTTTGAGGGAGAGAGAGAGAGAGAGCAAGCAGGGGTGGGGCAGAGAGAGAAAGGGGGAGAGAGAGAGAGAGAGAGAGAGAGAATCCAAAGCAGGCTCCTGGCTCCAAGCTGTCAGTGCAGAGCCCCATGCAGGGCTGGAACTCACCAACCATGAGATCATGATCTGAGCCAAAATTGAACACTTAACTGACTGAGCCACCCAAGCACCCCAGAATACTACCTTTCTAAAGAGTTCTGGCAGGCTTCTGACATTAAGATAGTGCAAAAACACTTTGTGATCTTAAAAGAATGGCCTCTATTAAGAGAGAAAAGACAAACACATCTCACTAGAAATGTTTTCTCTGGACTGCCAAGGATGGACGGTTCATAGGACTGAGGAAACTGCCCAGTCTCGAGGTCTTGGAGAGTATTACTGAACAGAAAGCCAGGATAACATCCCGTCTGTGATTATGGGAAGGGAAACCCTTCCCAGTTGATTTTGTTGAGAGCTCCTTGTCCCATACACCTTCCCTTAGAGCCACAGGAAGGGAGACAGGAGCAACTATGAAGCTATTGGCAAGTTCAGAATCATGAAGTGACCTTGCTATCCAAGGCCACAGTGTTGTCTCCATTTCCTCAATGGCTCCATTTTAACAGCTCGACTTTGGCTTGACTTTCCACCTGATGTTCCGTGAGCTTGTTACACAGCCAGGCGTGGGCCTGCCCTACCACAGGCCTGGGGAAGTGATTGTGCACTGGAAGAGTGGGCCTGTTATGAATTGAGTTGCGTCCTTCAACATTGAAGTCCTCACCCCAGTACCTGCGAATCTGACCTTATCTGGAAATAGGCTCTTTGTGTAATCAATTTGAGATCAATTCAATAGGACTGGTATCTTTGTAGGAGAGGAAAATGGAGACAGGCACAGAGAGGAGCACCTCACATAAAGACACTGCTGCACAGAAGGAAGGCAGCTCAGCGAGGAAGGGCTGCTGCCCACCAAGGAACACCTACCTGGGGCCATAAGGGGCCGAAGGGGCCGGGCCAGATCCTGCCCTAGAGGCTTCACAGGAGGCATGGCGCTGCGGATACCTTAATCTCACACTTCCAGTCTCCGGAAGGAGAAGAGAAGGCATTTCTGTCGTTTAAGGACACCCGGGTGGTGGCACTTCGTTCGGCAGCCCAGGGAACTAATAGAACGAATACAGGGTCCCATTCTAAAGGCAACAGGAAGCCGGGGCCTGGGCTCTCGGGGAGCGAATGGTGCCCTCAGCAAGCTTCGTAGCCTCCTTCAGATGTCAGGCTGAGGACGGTCAGGAAGAAGTCTTGTGGAGCTCCTGGAAGGTGCTAATACCAGGGAGGGTCTTTCCTACCACACAGTGGACGACAGAATTGCTGTACTGCTGAGACCTATCTCAGGATCCAGCCTAGAAGATATCCCAGCATAAATGTCACCTCTCTGAGCCTGGGCTGCTGGCTGTCATGCTTCGGGCTGCAGGCCACCTCTCTACTCCTCCCCTGGTCTAGAGAACATGTCAGCATGGACCACAGGATGCCAGAGAGGCAGCCTGGCCAGTTCCCTTGACAACCTTATGATGTAATGCTTTCAACTACTTCCTGGCTGCAGGTCTAATGAGATTCTAGACACTGCCGGCTCCTCCCAGCCTGGGAGGCAAGCAGCTGAAGTGAGAGCCGTAGAGCTCACTTTTAATGATCCTTTTCAGTGATATCTATAGGATGCATTTGCATTAGCGATGAGAGGGGAGTCTGACCGTCACCGAGCCGCATGGGATTTTTGCCCAGGAGACCCAAGATTATTGCTGGCAGATCGGCGTTTGCTGTGGGCGCCCCCAGTGTGGCTCAGCTGCTGCGAGGCTTTCCTCATTCTCCTTGTTATGCTTTAGTTCGGATTCCCTGCAGCAGTTCAATAGTAAAGAATGAACACGACCCTCAGTAAAATGGATTTCTGGGAACTTCGGCACCCAAACTGAAGCCTGAGTATATCAGAGAATTATCCCAAGGGATTTCTTAACAAAGCAGTTTCTCTTTGTCTCCAACCATTTGTATTCTAGAAGTCTTCAGGGTTTTGAAAGTAATGTTTTTAAAAAGCAAAGGCGCTGGAGCAAAGTCAACATCAGCACATTGCATACACGGCTTCCCCTGTGCTTTCTGGTGCTTTCTCTCTAGTCCTCAGGAAGAGGACCCCCAGGCCACATCCTGATTAGCCAGAGAGCAGAACAGGGACGGCTTTCTCCATCTACTGCTGCACTCTGACAGATGCTGGAAGTGGGTGCACATTCAGTTCCGAGTGTGAGAAATTTTATTTGTTTGTCCCTTTCAATGACTAAGTGGCCATTCATCGCCTAACAGCAGACAGGAGACGGGATGAGCAGGAAGACCCCACGTGCTGTGTCTCTCCAGCATGGCATTAGTGTCAGTTGCAATAAACCCGGCAGACAGAGCCGGAGAAGTGAAAGCCAGGCCTCCCTCTCCAGGGTTTATGCGACGTGAGAGCCAGGGGGCCTTCTGAGCAGAGAGGAATCCATTTTGTGAGGATTCTTTTATCTGCTCAGATGGGCAAGGAGTTCTGATAGACTGTGGCTGACAGTCCAGATGTCTAGGGTCAGAGGCTCCATATCATCCTTGAAAGCCATACTGGGTGTCAAAGCCAGGGAATCCTTTGTTAAGAAGCTCTCAGGCCCGGAGGGCATTTTCTGGATGGTGGTAGGGAACGTCGTGCCAAGTGGTTCAAAAATCTCCTCAAACATATGGATACTATTTTCCAATGCGAAGCCAACTTTATGGTGGCAACAGATTCCTAATTCCTACTGCTGTTCTGCCCCTTGGGTTATGCCTTTGAGATGCTGACTTGCCATCTGGCTGGAACTGGGGGCCTCAGTCTAGACAGCAGGACGAATATGAGAAAGAGAGTCAGAACAGAAAGACTCCAGGTACGACCCTCTCATTTGCAAGACTAATGGAGTCATGTGCTGGCGGTGGAGACCCACTTTCTGTGCCTCTGTCTTGGGGTAACATGCCTGATGTGTCTACAAATAAACATGGATACTTTTTCATTTGATTGGGCATCTCAGTATAAACGGGGACCTTAGGATGCAGTTATATGTCGAGAAAACAGCTATATTGGTATGTCACAAGTTGTGAGCACATTTTTTTTTTTATTTCTGTGATGATAAATAATTAACATAAGCATGCTGTGTACCATCTTGAGATATCGCCTTGAAATTGATCAGTGCCACAGGATTTCAGTGACTGCTTTGCACTTTCATTTATGATCTCTCTTACGCTGAGCGAAGGCAAACGATATCATAGCATCCTGAAAAGGAAGATTATACAGTGGTTCGAATCGGGAAGGGGATAGGAGAGATGAATCATGTTGGGGGCTACAGAATATAGGTATGCCAAAGTCTAAAGAATTTGTGCTGTAGCAGCCAGTACCGTATTTATGTCGGGAGCAGATGTATTATGCAGATTGCATTTTTGCACAGGCAAACTTGCAGCCATTCATCAGCAAAAAGCATAGCAGTAAAAAAGCAATGCAGAATTTTCTGTTGATTCTAGCAGTAAGTGGATTAGATATCTACTTAATGCAGGTTTCAGTAACACTGCAATGTGAAACTTATCTTCAAGTGAACAAACAAGACAGTCGTAGAGTTATCAAGGGACACCTTATTAAAATTTGTATCCCAGGATTGACAAAGTTTTGGGGTTTTGAGGCCTGATTATTCTGAACTAACAAACAAAACTTTGAAAAGTTATAGCCCATATTTGTACAACTTATTTATGTCAAAGAGGTCTCGACTTGCTTTCGTCTCTTTGCAAGTTCAAGTCACACAATGCCAGAGGTCTGTTGAATTTATTTTTTCTTTAAAAGGAGTCATGGTAGGCAGCCTCATGATGGTCACAATGATCCCAGCTCTTGTTACACACAAGATCACACTCTGTGTAAGCACCTCCCTAATGGTGTTACTGTTAGTCTCTGTGTGACTAATAGAATATGGCAGAATTGGTGGTATGTCATTTCTGAGGTCAAGCCATAAAATACACTGTGGCTTCTGCCTCTCCCTGCACCCAACCCCTCAGGTCACTCGCTCTGGGGAAGCCCACTGCCATCTCAGGAAGACCCTCTGGCTGTCCTAGGGAGAGGCTTACATGATGAGAAACTAAGGCTTTCTGCCAAGAGCCATGGAGTCAGCCATCTTGGAGGCATCTTTCAGCCCCAGCCTTTAGATGATTGCAGATCATGCCCAAAAGCTTAAATTGCCATTGTCACGGAGGTTCTGAGTCAGACCATCCAACTACCCGACTAAGTTACTCTGAGATTCCCGACCCTCAGAAACTGTAAGATAAGTGTTTGTTATTTTTAGCTGCCAATTTTAGAGTACTTATGCACCTACAGATCGATGATGCAGGAGTCTAGATATGACTAAATACTGAGAAGCACTAATGAATGTCACTTCCTGATTTGAGCCCATGATTCAGGAAGTAGATATATTTACTGCTTAGTCACTGACTAGGACTTCAACATGAGCAATTTTTTAGTGTTATTGGCTTTGCCTCTTAGAGTGAGCTAATTAGTGAGATTCATTCCATTTTCATGCATTCTTTCAAAAAATGCATATTGAAACAGATTCAACATTGTCATTCCTCAGTATTGTCATGAATCACTCGGCGCAGGGGTTCATCTTGGTGAGGCAAAAAATGCCCAGTCCTTCTGTGTGTTTGTCCATCTTTTCCCAATTCTCATATGATCTAGCTACAGAGTAGGACTGAAAATTTCACTCACACTTCAGCTGGGATGTACAGAGAACATATAGCTCTTTTCTTTTTTCTATAACCAATCTGATTTTCCTCCCACTGATCACCTGGGAACAAACTAACCAAAACAACTGACAACTGAATTTAATACTTGGGTTAAAACGTAATCTGATTTGCAAACGTAGAAAGCACTTTAAACTCAGTCCTTTAGGGAAAAACAAAAAACAAAATCAATTATTTCTCTCTCACATTTGTCCGTCATCTGCTTATCACCTAGCTTCATTTCAAGAAGTCACCTGGGTATGTGGTAGGAATAGTGAGGCATGCAAGATCTCATAGTGGAGGCAAAATCAGGGCTTCTCCTGCGTCTCCCTTTCTCTTTGCCCCTCCCCTGCCTGTGCTCTGTGTTTCTCTGTCTCTCAAAATAAAATAAACATTAATTTTTTTTAATAAAGAAGAGAAAGAAAAAAGAAAATAATCCTTTTAGCTAAGTTCTGACCAGACAGTGAGTCAACAAGGCTTACGGTTCTATAGTAAACTAAAGACATTACACAGGAAATGGGGGATAGGAGCCCAGGGATAAAAGTGACCAGAGGAAAAGGAAGTGAGAAAGGGGAGACCCTTACACTGTCTATTACACTGTACGATAGACATTGTTCTCTCATGGCTTCAGCCTGGATTGGGTGTGCATATCAGGTATCAAATCAGTGCCTTGACGTTCAGGCTGAGGGCAGATGGGAGCTCCTGGGACTGCACAAGAATGCTGTCTTATAGCTGTCATCTACCAGCCTTGTTCACAGCCACATCAAAATCATCTTGGTTGTTAGGCAGAGTTAGGCAGACGCAGGCCTGAGTTTTGGCTTCCCTGGGCCACTTTGATTCTAAGCAGCATAGACAGGACCTAGGTCTACCTGAGTATCTGGCTGGGGGCCATGGAAGAGAGTGACACCACCTTCCCCAGGGCCAGACAGCTCTGCAACAAGGACCAAGGAGGATGTGGCCCAGGCGGGAGCCAAGTCAGAATTACCCTCAGAACTCACAAGGCTTCATAGCACCCACAGGAGAGGGGCTGGGGACCAGGTCACCTACAACAGACATGGATCAGGAAAGGAGAAGAAATAGCAGCTAGAATGCTGCCACAAAGGTATACAGGACAAGAGACATCCCTCCAGAAGCCAGGAACCCAGGATCCTGGGACTGGGGGCCTCAGTCTAGACAGCAGGACGAATATGAAAAAGACAGAACAGAAAGCCTCTGGGTATGACCCTCCCATTTGCAAGACTATTGAATGCCTGACTCCTGATTTCCGCTTAGGTCATGATCCCAGGGTTGTGGGATCGAGTTCCGTGTTGAGCCCCTGCGTAAGAGTCTCTCCCTCTCCCTCTGTCCCTCCCTTATCTCCCACCCTCAGAAGAAAAAGGGGCCCTTGTACCATCATTGAATTGTTTTTCCCCACCAGGCACACCATCACAGAGCCACCCACCTCTCAGTACTTCCCCTTGTGTTTCGTATGACTTTATTGTATTTGTTGACTTAAAATAAGACCTGTTTATGCCTTCTAGATGCCTTCTTATTGCTTTCACATTGAGCCAAACTTTATAAAAGACTGTTTGGATGAGAGCCTTTATCACTCTCTAGCGTCTTCCATATCAGCTGCTCTAGCTACAGTCTAGGTCTGGCTCCTACAGGCTTTTCCTATCAGAATCCTCAGCCTGCGGGTAACTCATTGTTCTCCCTGTGGCATCTATCTTTCCCTCTTTGTATTTGTAGGTGACAGTATTTAGTGTCTGCCCCTACTTTCATTTAAAGGCAACATTTAGGGACCAAATTCTCTAAAGGTGACACTAACACTTGGTGTTGGTCAGCTCCAGGCTTGCCTGTGTTTAAGTCTACCATATTAGGAACAGTGGCCAACCGTTGTTAACCACTTTCTGTACTAGAAAACCCCTTATGAGCATTTTTTCACTTGGTCTTCACTGACAACTATTATTTTCTCTCTATTTTATGGATGAGGAAACTGAGGCTTGGATAGGATACCTAAGCAAGATACCCAAGGTCACATTTACTGAATGGTGGTGCCAGGGTTCACACCCAGGGCTGTCTGCTCTAGAGCTCTTGCTTTCCCTGGTCTGCTTGGTTCACATTATAATCTCAACACTTTATCAAATTTGTGTCGTATTAAAAATGACAAATTAGGGGGGCCTGGGTGGCTCAGTCGGTTGAGCGTCCAACTTCGGCTCATGTCATGATCTCACAGCTCGTGGGTTTGAGCCCCACATTGGGCTCTGTGCTGACAGCTCAGAGCCTGGAGCCTGCTTCCGATTCTGTGTCTCCTCTCTCTCTGCCCCTCCCCCACTCATGCTGTCTCTCTCTCTCTCTCTCTCTCTCTCTCTCAAAAATAAATAAAGATTTTTTAAAAAATTGTTAAATGACAAATTAAGGGGTGCCTGGGTGGCTGTGGGTTAAACATCTGACTCTTGGCTTCGGCTCAGGTCATGATCTCATGGCTTGTGAGATCTAGCACTGCATTGGGCTCTGCACTGACAGTGCAGAGCCTGCTTGGGATTTTCCCTTCCCCCTTCTCTCTCTGCCCCTCCACCCCACCCCCACCCCTGCCCACACGCACGCACACATACACGCTCACGTGCTCACTCCTTCTCTCTCTCAAAATAAATACATAAACTTCAAAAAAAATTAACAAGTTAAAAGAAGTCAGCTTCCTGGAGACCTCCAGTTGGGCATCTTCCAGGCATCTCTGAATCAGGGAATTGCAGGTGAACCCATCATGGTCCATGGAAAGCCCGCTCATCTAAGACCACTTATCTCCCTGAAAAGCAGCAGCAATGCTGGCCTCTACTTCTTTGAAGGCCCATATTCCTGTGGAAAAAAGCCATAGAGGTGTCTATAAACAAACAACTGGTGTGTGCCTCATCACGGGTGGGTACTTTGCCTTTCTGAGACTAATTCCCAGCAGGAATCATCTTTTTAAGAGCACTTTCTTAGAGCACATCACAGCATTAACAACCCCGTAGGGCTTGGATATGTCCGGCCCGTGGCTCTTCATTCCTTCTCATGAACTGAATTGCCCTTGCCATGCATAATGGCCTTTTCTGGTTTTGTTTGTTTGTTTTTCATTTTGGCTCCAAGAGGGATTGGGGACAGGGGAAAGGGTGAGGAAGCAGGAAGAGATGCTGAGTGGGAATATGAGGGCAAGGCTGTTTCTGTTCCTCAGCTGGCCCACAAAATGGGACCTGATGCCTGAAAGGTTACAAGGACCATTTGACAAGAGGCCTAGAATAATTCCTGGCACACGCAATGCTGCAATTAAGCCCAGGTAACACAACATTGCAGAGTTCAGGGGAGGGATGTTCTTTTCACTTCTGTGTAGAATGCAAAGCTGCAACCACAGCCTGAAAGGTCTTTGAAGGTGGAAGTGCTGGCCATGTCTGCTGACGTTCATTTTTATAGGATATAGAAGCAGCAGTGGAGCAGAGGGGACTAACTCACAAAACCTGTGAGCGGCAGCTTAAATGATAAGGTCAGAGAGTAAGACAGTGAGCGTGCTTGGGAATTCCTAAAATCGACTGGGGACACGAGGGCCAGGGGCTGACAATTATGTTGGTGGAAACTTCG